TAGGTGAGAGAGTCTCTGTCTTTTCGCTCTCTCCTCTCTCCTAGCCTGTGCGACTGTTCACTCCCCGTTGATGACCGTTGGGAGCGAGTCCCCATCGGTGGGGGCTGATTTTTGCCTGAAACCGCCGGACGGATCGCCGGCAACCACTCCCAGTCAGCCCAGCAAGCGAGCGAGAGCTAGCAGTGGCGAGGATTTCTCTGGGGAAGGTGAGATGGATTTCGCAATTGTTACGGCAAGAGCGATGGAAAGTGACTTTGGAGAAGAGGGAAACTCAAAAGAGGCACTTCCGGGAGCCAAAGCTATGGAGACAGAACAGGGAGGGGCCAAGGTCTCCTATAAAGACTTTCTCCTTGGAAATGGTCCATCCGAAGAGATACCCGAAGGAGATGAGTTGATGTCCGACGAATCTGAAGGAGAAGATGCTGAAGATGATCCTGACTGCCCCACAATTCGGATTAAGAAGAGTACTGACGCCCGTGTGCGAAATCGATGGAAGCGTGCTATTACCTTCTGTGTCTTGGGAGGGAACTTTCCCTTTGCTTTCATCCACAGACGAACTCAGAAGATGTGGGCAAGAACAGGAGGGGTTAGGATTGGGGACATTGGAAACGGCTTCTTTCAAGCGATCTTTGACTCGCAACTCGATCACGATCGTGCACTCTACGGGGGGCCGTGGACCATCGAGGACCACTATATCGCCTCGGAACCATGGCGGTTGGATTTCGACCCCGATTTTGACTCGATTCACAAAGCTTCGGTCTGGGTAAGGCTTCCAAGACTTCCTCTTGCTTACTTTGATGAAGAGATTCTTTCTGATATCGGGGATAAGCTGGGGAGAGTGGAAAAGATTGATTTTAATACGGCAAATGGGTCAAGAGGAAACTATGCTCGTATTTGTATCGAGATTGACCTTAGGAAGAAGCTTGTATCAAAGTACAGGATCAAAAGGAGAGTTAGAAGAGTAGAATATGAAGGCCTTCATACTGTGTGCTTTGGGTGTGGCGTTTATGGCCATCTTGAGGACTCATGTCCTCAGGGGCCCCTTAAGGCTTCATCGACTTCTGATGAAAGAATGAAGAGCATGAACAAACCTAAAGAACCAGTGATCAGGCCAGAAGTTGTGGAGGACTTCGGACCTTGGATGCTTGCTACAAGAAATCGAAGGAAACCAAGACAGCAGCCTCAAGAGAAAACTGGGAAGAAGGAAAAAGGGGAAAGTGAGCAGAAAATGCAGGATCCTTCGGGGTCAAGGTTCACTGTACTTGAAGAAGACATAGAAGAAGGAATTGAGGACAAGAATGAGCCGGAGAAGGTTGGAGGTGGGTCTACAGGAAAGGATATGGAAACAGATAATGAAAAGGGAAAGGATGAGGAGACTGGGAAGGAAAATCTAAGCTATGAGAAAGGCAAAGAGAAACTAGCTGCAAGCCAGAAGAAAGAAGGGAGAAAGAACAATGATAATAAGGGGAATGAGCAAAATAAAAAACCCCACCAGAAATCAACCCCGGAGAGCGGTCTAACAAAAACAAAGATGAAGACGACTCAGGGCAAACAGGATGGCTTGGGATCGAAGAAAGCTACTGATGCTAGTAGTAAGGTCAGTGGTCCTTTATCCTCTGCTGTCAACCAAGTGGCATCCACCAGCCTTACCACACCTCCCAAACCAAAGATGGGGGCAGGCAAGGAGAAATCAAAGGATGCCAAACAAGGCCATCAGCCAAAGATGAAGGAGGGTCAGACCAAAATGATCAAAAGTCCAGACAAAAAGCATCCTCTACCACCAGAAAATGTGGCACACCTCACCCGCAAAATCAGTTTTGATGCAAAGCAGGCTGAGGAAAAGATGAAACCTGAAAATGTTAACTAGGCTCTGTCGATAACTGCAAATTGTAGCGGAGAACTGGAAGAGACGGCAATGGCCGTCGACTTATCTTGATCCCAACCGTGTGTTGCCGAAAGGGAAGTTCTCTTAATCTCTCCCATGATTAAAGTCTTCTCTTGGAATTGCAAAGGTGCTCGACACCTCAATTTTCGTTCCACCTTTGATTTCTATAAGTCTACTCATAAACCAAGTGTTGTTTGTATTGTTGAACCCAGGGTTAGTGGGAAGGATGCCATTGACATTATCCAAAAGCTGGGTTTTGACTCTTGGGAAATCTCCGACGCTACAGGGTTCAGTGGAGGTATCTGGCTGCTGTGGAACAAAAGGGAGATCCAAATGCGTAATCCCTTGATCCATAAGCAGTTCATTCACCTGGAGTGTACTACAAGCAACGGAGAGACTGCTGCCCTGACTGCTATCTATGCGAGCCCGAACGAGCATGCTAGAGGAGAGTTGTGGGAGGCCCTTCGTGTCATCAGTAGTAGAACCCGCTGCCCCTGGATGTTGTTTGGCGACTTCAATTCTATCACCAGGCCAACTGAAAAGCAAGGAGGAGCTAATTTCAACCTTGCTAAAGTTAAAGCCTTTGTGAGCTTTATTGAAGATTGTGGCCTGATGGATCTTGGCTTCTCTGGTCCGAAGTTCACCTGGTTTAATGGGGATCAGGAGTTAAAGAGAGACTTGATAGAGGGCTATGTAATTTGGCATGGCACCACAAGTTTCCCCAGACCACTGTCCTCCACCTGATCAAGATGAAATCAGATCATAGACCGATCCTGCTGTGCAATAAGAGCAACCCGGGGAACTCCAAACTGGTGAGACGATTCCAGTTTCTTGCTCCTTGGCTTGCGCATGATGAGTTCCTTCCTTTTGTTTCATCCTCTTGGAAAACTGGCCAGTTTCTTCCATGTGCTTTGCAGGACCTCTCTTTGAAGCTTCAAGGCTGGAACAAAGACGTTTTTGGCAACATCTTCAGAAGAAAGAGGAGTCTTGCTCAAGAACTGGGATCCCTTGAAAGCCTGAATGCAAGACTTCCTACCTCAACCTCTCTGGAAAAGGAAATCAGCACCAGGAAGGAACTAGAGGATGTTCTCTGGCAGGAGGAAATCCTCTGGTACCAAAAATCCAGAGCGAATTGGACCATCCATGGAGACCTTAATACAAGGTTCTTCCATACCAACACGTTGACTAGAAGGAAGAGAAACAAAATTGTGTGTCTCAAGAATGAGGAAGGGCAATGGATTACTGACCCGGATAAGCTTCAGGATATGGCCCGAAATCATTTTGTTCAGCTTTTCACCAAAGTTTCCAAGGATTCCCAGGTTTCCATTGCAGCCTTGTTCCCTGCTCTTGAAGGGCACAAGTGGGAAGCCCTCAAAAACCACCCAACTTTTGAGGAGGTCCACTGCATTGTCAAAGATATGAATGGATTGAAGGCTCCTGGCAAAGATGGGTTCCATGCCCTTTTCTTTCAAAGATGCTGGAAGTTTGTTGGCCAGGATTTCTTCAGGTTTATCCAGAGATGCTTCAGGGACCCTGACAGCATACGCTTGCAGAATGAGACCCTGCTTGCACTCATTCCAAAAGTGGATTCTCCAAGCACAATGAGTCATTTCAGACCCATCAGTCTGTGCAACGTGGGGTATAAAGTGGTGGCGAAATGCATAGCAAACAAGCTTAAGTATCTTATGCCCCATTTGGTCAAACCTACTCAGTCTAGTTTTGTTCCAAATCGGCATATTACTGATAATATCCTTATTTTGCAGGAGACTGTGCATTCAATGGCAAGAAAGAAGGGGCAGAAAGGCATGATGCTCCTCAAGCTTGACCTTGCAAAAGCTTACGATAGGTTGGATTGGGAATTCCTTGAGGAAACACTCACTCTCGCAGGAGTCCCTCTTACCATGATCAAGATCATCATGAAGTGCGTCACTACTGTGGAAATGCAAGTCCTGTGGGAAGGTGGAGAGACTCAGAGCTTTAAACCAAGTAGAGGTCTCAGACAGGGATGTCCCATTTCCCCTTATCTTTTTACATTATGCATAGAGAGATTAGGCCATTGCATCTTAGAAGAAGTTAGAGAGCTTAAGTGGAAACCACTGAGATTATCCCCTGGAGGGCCTCCCCTATCCCACCTCTTCTTCACTGATGACCTGGTTCTCTTTGCTGAAGCCTCCTTGAAACAAGCAGATGTCATTAATAGATGTGTTGAGAGCTTCTGCTTGGCTTCAGGAGAGCTTGTAAGCAAGGAGAAGTCCAGGATTTTTTTCTCTAAGAATACTAAGGATAGGGACAAGAAGAATGTGTGTGATAGGCTTGGAATTCAGTCAACTTTACACTTAGGAAGGTACCTTGGTGTTCCTGTCATTCATGGGAGGATTACTAGGAACACGTATAGGTACATAATTGACAAAATTGACCAGAAACTCACCTCATGGAAAGCTAGAACCTTGTCGTTAGCCGGGAGAGTGACCCTTGCACTCTCAGTTCTCAATGCCATCCCTTCTTACGCTATATAAACCACTCTGCTTCCTGCCTCTGTTTGTGATTTGATTGATAAAAAGATTAGATGTTTTGTTTGGGGATCCAATGAGGAGAAAAAGAAAGTGCATTTGGTTTCCTGGGATAAAGTGTGTCAACCTAAGAACCAAGGGGAACTTGGCTTAAGAACTGCTAGAAGTTTGAACATGGCTTTCATGATCAAGCTTGCATGGCAAATTCTAAATAATGGTTCTGATCTTTGGGTGCAGGTGATGCAAGGAAAATACTTCAAACATGTTGATGGGCAGATCGTGGCTATGAAAAGAAGCAATCACTCTGCTTTGTGGAAAGCGATTGTGAAGGCAATGCCCCTCATGAGGAGTGCCACCTGCTGGAGCATTAGGAATGGAAGGACAACAAGCTTCTGGAATCACCCGTGGCTGGACCATGACATCACGCTGAGAGACCATATTCTGCAGACTGCTGACTTGCAGCAGGAAGATAGTTCAGTTGCGGAGTGGACTGATGATAATGAAGAATGGAACTGGCAGAAGCTCCATGAATGCCTTGCAGTCAGCATAGGTTGAAGTCAGCATATAGCCTTGCAGCGGACCAAACCATTTCTGAAGGTGAGTCAATGTGGAAGAAACTCTGGAAATGGAAAGGGCCAAGCCGCACCAAACATTTCCTCTGGCTTGTGATGCATGACAGGCTACTTACCAACAAGGAAAGAGTCAGGAGGAAGATGACTGCTGATGGAAACTGCAGCCATTGCAAAGATGTGGAGGAGACTACAGAGCACATTCTGAGGAAATGCAGCAAAACAGCAGCCATCTGGGAAAAATTCAGGTTCAAAGTCACTAATAAAGAAAAGCAATCTGCCCTTTAAGGAGTGGATGTCTGCCAATTTAAGTGATGATACCCATGGCATCGATTTTGGACTTATTGTGTGGCAACTTTGGAAACAAAGGAATGAAGAGTGTATGGATGGGAAGGCTTATGTGGAAAAATCTCTCATCTGCAGAATTGAGGCCTGGTTCAGCATTTACAAAATGGCACTGCAGAATGTTGAGCGAAGCTTCAAACCACCTGTTGAAAGAAGACAAGAGGAAGTTGGTTGGAGGCCTCCTCCTGAGGGATGGGTACAGGTTCAGACTGATGGCTCTGTCCTCTCTCCCTCAGGGTATGCAGCAGCTGGAGGTCTCCTTCGTGATAGCCTTGGTAGATGCAGCTCTGCTTTTGCCTGCAATATGGGGAAGTGTTCGATTACTGCTGCCGAGCTGAAAGGGGCGATTGTTGGTTTGCAGTTGGCTTGGGAGAGGGGTTTTCGAAAAGTGCAGCTTAAGTTGGACTCAACTACTGCCATTGCTATCATTAGGGATCGCTCTGATGATGATCACCGACACGGAATTCTGGCTAAACATGTGAACCACCTTTTGGATCGTGACTGGGACGTCTCTATTTCACATGTGTATAGGGAAGGAAATCGCACTGCAGATTTTCTGGCTAACTTAGGCCATAGTCTCACTTTTGGAACACATCATGTTGATGTGTGTTGTTCGGATCTTTGTAGATGGCTTGACTATGATGTTATGGGAATTTCCCAAACTCGTATTATTAATACATGATTCAAGGCGCTTTTGTGCCTGCCTTCTTACAAAAAAAAAAAAAAAAAGAAGGCCGAAGGATGAGTATTGAGTGCTAAAGAATGGATTGCTTTGGCATCCCTCCCTCAGCTTTTCTACGGGCTTTGCCTTTACCATTTGATTCATAACCCACTGAGCCCTAAAGCTTTTGGTGGGCCACTCATCCCCTTTGTTTGTTGGGACCCCATATTGGGCCCAATAATGCCCATCGACATGAAAGTGCATGGGCATGGCGTCTGCCTGGATTACATTGCATTAGGAAGGACCATTATCTTTGCGCGTTATTTGGCCTTTTAAATTGAGGAAACCGTCGACATACATAGCATATTAGAATAAACTAAGCGTTTTGCCCGGCCAGTTGGCTGGATGTGAGTATTTCATCATTCATACTACACATTATTGTCTTGATTTTACTATAATCACGATAATTTAAAAATGAAAGTATAATTTTTTCCCATTCTAATACCTAATAACATATCAAACACATCTTACCTATTCCTCTTCACTCTTCTCTACGACTGCCGCCTTCTATTCCCACTCCATATGTTACCAAGGTTAGAATGAGCCTAAGATAATGGAGATGAAGGAACGAATTAGCAAGCTCTTTCATACTTACCCATAAAAAACATTAAGATGCCTTTCTTAGTCCGTTTGAATTTAATTTTAAGTAATCTATCAGCAATGCGAAGCGGCTTTGCTCCGTTTCAGTTGGGCATCGAAAGTTTAGATTTTTGAAAGTAAAAGAACAACGGTTCTTCTATATAGAGGTATAGCGGGTTGCTCCTCTCTTTTCAATCTCAATCCACACTGTCAGACGGGAGGAGAGCAGGCAAAGTCAGTCTATTACAAATCAATACTTGATTGTTAGGATTTTTTTATTTCTTAGTGTTCCCTACCATGTACTTGTGGGATGTCCATGTTTGCATATAGTTTGGGGCCCGATGAGAATGAGAGGCTGAACTCCTTCATACCATTGCATGCTCTATCTTTCCCAACATAAATGATTGTAGTTATCAAGATGACAGGTGCATTCCAGCTGTAGCGCTATTTCATTAAATTGTACTATTGTTCTCATACACAGAGTGACTATGACAATGTTCCCTCAGTTTTTTGGTGCCTAATTTTGAAGAAAGTAGCAATCCTTTTAAAGAAAACCTCCTATGTGTCATAGCTTGACACAATCCATGAATCGCTTTGCTCGATGGGGGAGTTGTAATTTTGATCGCAGTATGAAGCTATTGGTGTCACGAACAGCGGGGTGTAGTCAGTATTTTATTGTGGGTGAGTCAATTTTTAAAAAATATGCATACAACAAATAGTTTTGTTAAGTTTTTAAATCATTCATGATATAATTTTGTATTTACAAAAATGGGCAATTGAAATATATATCAAAACTATCAAAAATATCGCTCCATGTGTATCAAACAATTATTCATGATTTAGTTAGACATTTACTTTTGAATGATGTTCTTTGTCAAGACCGTTTAGTATCGATAAGTCGAGTTGTTGGGAAATATTTAATAATGAATCTAATACTATTTAGTATTTACTAACACTTTCCCGCGAACCAAAACCAACTTATATGTGCTTAAAATTTTTGCAAATCTCTCGGTCAATCATTATCAATTAGAGTTGCTCAAAATTTCATTCTCAATTAACTCTTATACACACGGTAAACAAAACTATTATACTAATTTACTCATTTTCGTCCTAAAGAACCACCCATTACACTCTCCCTACTCCTGATTGAAATAAAATTATTTTTTACAATTAGATATGATTTGGTGAAAATTTATTGTAGATGTTGAATAAATACATCTTTAATTTTGGATCTTTAATTTTGGGTGAATCATATGCACCAAATATTTGAAAGATGAACTATTCTTATTTAAACCTAATTTAACCCTCTCCCTCCGCCCCGGAGGGTGTTGTCCGACTATGATGACCCAAATGAGAGGACTAAGCTCCGACCATTGGATTTGCATCCCTCCTTTTAGAATCAAATCGGGCTGCTACGGGCAAGTAGCATTTAATCTTGGCTTCTCCTTTATCCTTTAGCAGGCCTAACTAACGGGCCCAAAGTTGGCAGAGTGAGGCTCGGTTACAACTTACAACTGATTAATTTCACCATAGTAAAAGTGTCTATTGTCAAAAATATCCCTCCGCAAATTAGGGGCTACTTCTCGACAGCCGATGTGGCAAATTGCTCATATACACTCATGTATATATATTTGTGTTGAAGCCAATGGGGAAGAACCAGAAAATGTATTCCGTATACGTAGAAACAGTGGCGGAGCCAAAAAATTGGTTAAGGGGGTGTCTTTCTTCATATCGTAAAAGTTCAATTATATAATAGAAAAATAACCTCTAAACGGAATAAATAGTCAACAACATAATACTTAAAATTCGTACAATTACAAATTAATAGTTTGACGCACACCGCTTACAAAGAACCACGACTAGATTTCATATTTTGAAAACAATTTAGAATACTTCCTAGTCTAAACTAGCAAACAAATCTTGTTCAATATAAGTTATCAACGCGCCGTTCAACCACTCATCGTTCATCTAGTTTCAAAGATCATTTTTGATATATTTCATAGATGAAAATGATCCATGGCAAGCTGATTGCCATAGAGGGGAAGAGCTTAGAGGAAAATGGACAAGCCCTCGAAGTTAGTTTAGTGTCTGGTTGTGTCAAAGAGCAAAAATAAAATGGTAGGGGCGCTGACGAGAAGAAAATCCAGTGTTTGTGAAAGGTACTGTATTGGAGATTCGACAGTAAAACCTTCTACTGGAGTCTAAACTAGCAGACGATATTTAGTGGTATGAAATGGTTGAACCATAATTAAATTACTATTTTAGACTTTCAACACAAAATATTATATACTTGACTTTTTCAGTACAACCTATGATCGGTTTTGTCAGGCAAATCTGGTTTTACAATTCTTGGACACTTTCAGTTACAGGTTTTAATTTTTGAACCACTTTTTGATAAGTAAAAGTCCACTATACAATCAAAATTTTAACCAACTGAAATGGTGAAGCAAGCGACTGTTGCTTGGCACATTAGAGGTTCGATTCCACAAATTCCAAGGGGGCTGTATGAACAGCTCCGCAACTGCGTAGAAAAGGTGATGTTTGGTATGAGTTCGTCACTGATATATGGTTCCAAAATATTTTGTATTGACAAGGTGATTTTTTGTATTGGCAAATCTCCTCCATATGGCCTGGCATCGAAAAAACTTTCTATTGCCAAAACTCGATGGATTTTAGTGTGTTTACTTTTTTTTATTAAAACCATTTGAGGATAGGGATGTCAATTAAACTTGAATTCAAAGGTATCCAATCCAAACCAATACGGGCAAAGCAAGTAAAACTCAGTATTGACGAGTTTTGGGTCGGGTGTGAGTTTTACCCGTGCTTTTGAAATTGGCTGGTTGGGTTGAGTTTTGGTTTTACAAAATTGAAACCGCTTTCCACCAGCCCGCGCCCAAAAATTATAACAACGTCATTTTGTATCTAAGATGAAAAATATGAATAATTTATGGATGTTATTAGTTCTTATGTCAGATAAATCTCATAATATGGATAATTTATGGATGTTATTAGTTTTAACTAGGGTTGCAAACAAGCCGAGTAGAGTCGAGTTTTTGCTTAGTTTGAGCTCGGCTCGTTTACAAATTTTTCAGCTCGAGCTCTAGCTCGACTCGGTAGAGCTCGGTAAATACTAATTAACATAGCTTGTCAAGCTGAGTACAAGCTCGACTCAAGATGAGCTCGATTTGAGATTATTATTGATGAAAATTGTGTACACATAAGAGTTTAAATGATAAAAAGAACACAAGAAACTATAAATAACAGCTAACTTTCACAGACATCGGTATTAACAAGATAATGTTAAAGTTCAGAAGAGTAATTAATCCTTCTACAAGCTCTTAACAAGCTAGCTCGCGAGCTTAGATAAACAAACCACCGAGTCAAGCTAGCTCACGAGCTTATCAACCTGAGCATGGTCTAGCTCAAGCTTGGCTCGTTTACTAACGAGTCGGCTCATGAGCCGGCTTGTTAACCAACGAGCCGAGTGTCGAACGAGTTTTTTCTGATTCGAACGCTAAGTTGCTCGCGAGCGGCTTGACTCATTTGCAGCCCTAGTTTTAACAAAGATATATTTGTAGGAATTTTTTTTATTTATAATGTTATGATATATGTGTTCAGAAAAATAATGTATTGTTATGTTCGGTAAATTCATGGATACCCATGCATTTAAGAATACTGTTGAGTTTGATTTGCTCTTCTCAAACCTAATAGATATTTTACTGAAATGTTTATCGAGTGCATCTGTTGGATTGGATTTAGAGAAACTCTCACTTAGTAAAATGTTATCAATCCAAATTTGAGAATAACATGTAACCAATGCGATTGATTGAATGTATTTTGAGAATGGCCAACTACTTATGAACATTCTGAATTAAATAATTTAAAACAACGATTATACATCTAAACTCCGCTCTCATATCCTCAAAGCTCTCGTGATTTAGGAGAAGAAAACTGAGAAAAACGAGATATAGATAAATGATAAGTGGATATGATTTGTATGCTCTGAAACTCACAACTAGCTAGCTAGTCAGTGGAGGCATGGCCAATTGATGGGATGTCTTGAGCTTTGCAATGACGACTTATTAATTAGAAGATGATTAGGCTTTGATCGATACAAACCCCATTAATCATTCATGAAAGAATTAGACAGAGCATATTTGGGACAAGTTTTTAGTGGTACAAACAGAATCCTGACGATTTGGGATGACAATTTCGACTTGTCCGTTTTACCCGACCCGTTTGATCTGTTTTGGGTAAGTAATATCTACTTTGTAGGCAGAGTGGGGCGGGCATGTGTAATTTTCTCGATCTGACCTACCCCGATCCACTCTACTCAACCTGTTTTTGCCTAAATTACATATAATTTTAATAAAATTGTCTAG